AATTTTTTCATAAATTTAATTTTTGAAATCATTAAATGAGATTTTTAAAAAATGTTTGGGATTTAGAGACTTTATGTTGTTATTGAAAATTAATTTCATCTATATATTTAATGATTATTATGAAATTAAATGAAATTTATTCTATATGCATCCATTTTTTTTTCATGTCAGACCATTGAAATACTTTGCAAGACTGGATTATGTGTTCACCCACAAACACTCCAAAACAAACTTACTAGCTGGAAGGACAAGTTAGATGAAGAACTTAAAGTCCTAAAGGTAATTCACACTCAGTTTTAAAAGGTAAATATAATTATATTTTTTTATATACAAAAAATTAGAAAATTAAACATATGATTAACATACATATAAGTGTTTAACTCATGTTTAAACTGTTAACACTCAGTTTAAGAAACATGTTTGTTTATAAGTGAAACACAAAATGTTTCCCTCGTGAAACTTATGTGACACATAAGCTTAAGCAAAAGGGTATACTGTACATGTATATTGAGATTCTCTGAGTTATTGTTTTTAGTAAGCTTTATTACTATTGCTATTGTTTTAGCTCACCTGAGCGCAAGGCTCAAGTGATCTTTTTTCTGATCACATTTTGTCCATCTGTAAACTTTTCACATTTTTCGACTTCTTCTCCAGAACCACTGGGCCAATTTCAACCAAACTTGCCACAAAGTATCCTTGGGTGAAGGGGATTCAAATTGTTCAAATGAAAGGTCACACCCTCTTCCAAGGGGAGATAATTAAGAATTAGTGAAAAATTAATGGCATCTTTTAAAAATCTTCTTCTCAAGAACCACTGAGCTAGAAAATATGAAACTTTTGTGTGGAAGCATCCTCAGGTAGTGTAGATTCAAGTTTGCTCAAATCATGACCCACAGGGGTAGGGTGGGGCCACAGTGGGCGATCATAGGAATATATAGGAAGAAATCTTGAAAAATCTTCTCAAGAACCACTGGACCAGATGAGTTGAAATTTATGTGAAAGCTTCATTACAAGTTTGTTCAAATCAAGAACCTTAGGGGTAGGGTGGGGCCACAATAGGAGATCAAAGTTTTACATTGGAATATATAGGGAAAAAATATGCTGCTGAGGACAGTAGGGCCATAGTGACTCAGGTGAGTGATGTGCCCATGGGCCTCTTGTTTGTAATGGGGAATGAAAATTTTGCTTTTCTGAATGTAGATGAAATGGAAAAAGGAAGAACCTTTAGCTAAGTATCAACTCGTAGGTGACAATTGGGACAAGGAGATTCTTCCCTCCTATCGCACAACAGAGAGAAAAACCCAGAGTCTTCATTTATTTCAAGTCTATGCTATTGTTGACCGATACACTCCCAGAAATCCACTTGGGTCAGACGGATTCCAAGACAATCTCACTTACATCCCTTCTATCTCAGAGCAAAAGCTACTCCTAAAAGAGCTGAAATTCATCTTTGCATCGGCCATCATCAGAAATGTTCCTAAAGTTGCCAAGTGCTTCAACGCAATATATCCAAAACATTTAGAGCACAAACATAGCCATTGTGCTGGGATAAAAACAACACAGGTACTAGCTTTTAAACATGGATATTTTAAAGAAGTGTACTTTATATGGTAACTGAATTGCCAATGGATCATTCTTTTTCAATTACAATAATTAGATTTTTGTCATTATTTTGTAGTATTCTCTTGGACTTTTTGATACCAATGAAAATAAAACGGATGAAATGATTCGCCTTCTTAAATTTCTTACTGATCAGTATGTCCCAACTGAAAATGAAGAAGTTGTTGATGCCGTTTTTTTTTTGGAGGTAATGTTAGCCACAATTAATGTAACTTTACATCTTAAAGATAATGGAATGTAGCATTACAATATTTGTCATAAATAAAGTTTATTCACAAATAAAAACATCAGTGGTAAACACCATCAAAACTGATATGAAAAGGAAATGATAAAAAAAAAAATGATTCTTGTGGAAACTTAATAAAATTCATGCCTCTATAGAATTTTTCTTTAAGGTGACCGTCTAACTGACGAGAGAGTTCAATGTGCACAAGTTGCCCTCAAAGATTCATTAACGTCGAAAGGTAGATTAGAGGGATTCATCTCCAAAAGTGAGATTTTCATCGACTGATGAATTTTCTTGAAGTAAGTGGCATTTCATAAAATCCTGTCAGATTCGTACATGTACAAATGTAACTAAAACAGTAACCAACATGGGGAGATGCATGAAAAAAAATACTTCAAGGTTGATCATGGATATGATAAATTATTGTATATTTTTCAGGCAATTTTCAAGTTAACCTACAGTTCTGACCTAGCAGGGGAACCATGCACAATGCATTATTACAGAAACCTACTAGGGCATAGAAATGCAAAGGGAAAAGTTAAGAATGCATATAGAGCATATAAGATGCTATATTACACAGTTCTCGATGCTATTTGTGTTGTCTGTTCCTAGACAAGATGGGGTCTGTAGATATAGCCAATATATCTCTACCAAACCTTTCAGAATTGTCATCTTGTGATAAGATTCAGTGGCTGAATGACTTGTGTGAAGAGATTATTGTAAAATGGTTCTTTGATGACAAAGAAGATGTGATGGAGGAAATAAGAAATGATTTACAGGATGCACAAAAAAACCTACTGGACAGCAACATTTAACAATGGACGCTTTAAGTGTCATCACTGTGATAAGGATTACAAAAGAGTTAGCTCTCTAAAGGCCCATGAGTCAGAAAGCTGGTGTTTCATTGAGCAGAATGAAAAGGAAAACATGTACAGAGTGATGAGGTTCAAGACTATGTTTTGATGCTATTCAAGCTGGTCATGCTTCATAAAAATTTTGATGATGGCGTTGATATGGGGGATGGTGGTCGATGTGTCTGTTTGGCTAAGTACGAGCTTCCACTTTACCATAAAACCCAGAAGATTAAATATTCCATCTCCTCCATACATACAACAGCAATGGCATCAGGACTTTTGACTCCAGACCAAGAAGAGCGTTTCATAGTTAACAGATATGTAAATCTTCAGGGAGGAAAAATAACAACATTTCACTAGACAAGTATATTGAAATGCTAAATCGTGACAGTAAGGCTGCATGCACAGGCCATCAGACCAAGGAAAGCATTTTAAGGCATTCAAAGGAGTATCCATTACTTATCCAGCTTACAAACCAGTTTGAGCAGGCAAGTCAATTTGGAAACAGAAAAGGATTTCATCACCATCCATCTTACCCTTTAGATGTTCAGAAGGTTGTCAAAGATTTGTTAGACCATAACTTTCTAATTCGAGATGTAAATAGGAAGTTAAGCAAGAAGCTGCCTGGATTAGATAGAAATCCGTTTTTGAACTGTTCACGAGACCTGTCAACATTGCTTCACCGGCATAAACCATCGTCACCATTTGGGCAACTTAATATTGTCGATTTTAAAATCTGATTTCAATATTCAATGGACATTTTAAATGTTAATATTTGAATGCTTTTCATGATATTTATTCATCAGGTATAATTCCCTTTTTGAATAAAATTAACACTTTGCTATACATGTCCATTTCTTTTACAAGCAGTCTTCATTGTACATGTTGTGCATATCCAAAAGTGCAATTTTCAAAAGTTTAAGAGACGTGCATGTATGCTATAATTTAAAGTTATATATATTTCACAATGTGTATTTTCTGTGGAATTTCTAATAATTTTTAAAAATGTGAAATACCATTTATTCACTCATAAGAAGTTTAGAGTTGTAAAATTCTCTGTATGCAATATGATTTTGTATTTATTTGGTGACAGACTGTTAAAGTTATACCATCTGAAACTAGATAAATTGTGATACATTTAATGATGCATGACTTCTACTTATTTATTACTGTATACAGTATAAAATCCCCCCCCCCCCCCCGGCAGGTATACTGAAAATCATTTTCACCTGGTTTGTTTCCAAAAGCCAATTTTTCACAGTATACATTGTACATGTAATATTGATATTTTCGAATTTGTACATTTTAAGTTTCTGCTAAAAAGTATAACAAACAACGTTCAGATTAAGAAGATTGTTGAAATTTTATAAAGTTTGGTTATAAAATTCACAGCAAAGGCAAATCAAAAGTACACAAATGTTTATTAGCTAAAGATCTCAGAGGAAATCATTAGCATCTCATAGGTCTCAGAGATGGTAAAACCCGGTGCGCAAATCTTTTGTAAGCAATCTGATGATACCAATTACAGGAACACAACAAGCAAGTTTTACAACTATATATATGAACTTGATCAAGGAATTAAATTCAAATCATCAAAATCAAAATCAGAGAGATCTTCAGTACTGTCTGAGTCTTCAGTATCGTGTCCTGAATCTGTATTTCCCACACACAGTTTTTCAATGGCAGAAGAGCACAACTTCCACACGAACAGCTCTCTTGGCAAATATCACAGCAGGTACAAAGCCGAAGTGCTGGATTTGAGATCATCCAGATCATTCTCTCTGAGAAATGGTTCCATCATCAGAATTCTTCTGCATGTGTTCTCTTTATAAAGTCTCTTCACGTCAGCTACACTGTTGCAGGTGATGAGAAAGTCAACATAAGTACGGCTATAGACTTCTCACCCCCCCTCCCTGCACGTCCAATTTCTTGAACGAGATCGAGCATTCAACAAGGTGGGCCATATAAAACAATGTTAGACAGACCCTTAAAGTCCACTCCCATACCCATTGCATTTGTGGATATGATGATCCTCAGTAGGCTCTGCTCATCCCTGATAGATAACAATATTCTTTCCTTTATAGAACTCTCCGTCTCAGAGTGAAACATACCAATGAATGACTCAAATTCTTTGGACACCTCATCATTTATGTAGTCATAGATCTTCGCTACATCACTAATGGACTTACAGTATATAAGTGTTTTTGGAAACAAAGCTCCCAGTTCCATGAGACCATCCACTAACCATGTCCATGCCATATCAATGTCACCGGGAACTTTTTTAACACTATACTTGATGTTCCTCTTGTCAGGGGATTTATACACGTATGTGTGATGATTCAAGGCTAAGGCTTTGATGACTCGTCTCTGTATTTTCTGTGTCACTGTCGCACTCAGAGCCAACAAAGGAGCACTAGGTGAAAGGGACATTAGTTCTCCCAGCTACCAAACCAAATTGGATACGCATCCATGGGGAAAACAAAAAAA